GTTTTTTTTTTTTTTTTGTTTTTTTTTGTTTTTTGTTTTTTCTGCGCGATTAGTTCTTGTTGAAAACTGCCAGTGAATAATTGTGTTAAGGCTTTTTATGTTTGTCAATGAAAGCACCGATTGTCGAGTATTTATTGTTTCTTGTTAAGGTTTATCCCATACTGCAAGAGCTGCATCTAAGGGAAATAGCACACAGTCCTGTTACCGTTGACTGAAGGCATTAATTTTCTCTCGATTTTTCATTTTGTAGGTTTTGAAGTTTATCTTGTAGGGGGATGCGTAAGGGACCTCATATTGAAACGAATACCTAAAGATTTTGATATAATAACATCAGCCGAGCTAAAAGAGGTAAATTTATCATTTGTGTAGATATGATTTGTTGAAAATTTTGAAATGTGTTTTAGCAATGACAATAGAAAGTAAGCAAGCTCGGAAATTTGAATAAAGCATATTTAGAACTTAATTCTGAATGCCGTTCAAATATAATTTGCTTCTCTATCGTTGTTGTAACTGAGTTCCCTGTCAAAGCAAAGAAAACGAAGGTACTTCGAGAGCTATATGATAATTGAGATTTTTCCAGCTGCTATGGAGATTTTGACCTTATCAAAAGGTCGTAGCTATGGTAAGTATATTACAGAAGGATTGTATTGTCTTACTTTGCAGGTTATGAGAACATTTTCTCGATGTGTGATGGTTGGCAGACGCTTTCCGATATGTCATGTGCACGTTGGCGACACTATTGTAGAGGTTTGTAAACATATCTTATTTAATTTCCCGTAGGTTAATAGTTTCAGTCTGGCTTGTACTTCACCCCTTGGGCCTGATAACAAGGTCTAAATTTCTCAGTATGTCCCTCAAAATTGGTGTGTAGCCATTCCGATTTTATTGTAAATACTACCTTTGTATTTTCTATTCTACTTTTTCTCTAGTTTAGGAATTTTCAACTCATCTTGGTTTACCATCACGGCCAGAGTAATTTGTTCTCTTGTTTCCTTCTTTAGTTCTCATATAATGTCTCCATTTCTCCCCTCTGTTATTTTCTTTATCATTTGTCATCATCTAATTGGACTGCTGGAATTACAAAACCATTATAGTTCACTAATATTCTATAATATATCAGGTTTCAAGCTTTAGCACTCGTGCATCTAGGTTTGGGAGGGTCTTGAGTTTGGATCCTGAGAAGCCAGATGGTTGTGATGAAAAGGACTATATTCGCTGGAAAAATTGCATGCAGCGTGATTTCACAATAAATGGGTTACTAATTTTTGTCTTTTAAACATATATGCATTCCTTTTAAAAGTTATTGGCATCACATTTTCGCTTTTTTTGTTCCTTTTCATATTTATATTTCTTCTTTCTTTTTTCCTTTATGGTTTCTTTCTTTTGTGCTCCACCTTGTACTAGATCACTGAAGTTCCTTTTTTCTCAAGGGGTCATTTTACTAATAATCACTGACGTTCCTTGTCTCTCAAACTCCAGATTGATGTTTGACCCATATGCAAAGTTGGTGTACGACTACACGGATGGAGTTAATGATATTAGGAAAGCTAAAGTGTGCATGTATCTCTAATCTGTTGTATTTTTTTTTTCTTAAAAAATTTTCACTTTATTGGCACTTATTTATGGATTTACATTTTCCACATGAAGGTGCGGACTATTAAACCTGCTAATCTTTCCTTTGCAGAGGATTGTGGTATTTTTCTTTCTTGAAGTAGCACTCTACTTGGAATGAGCTAATTTTCTGGTTTATCATTATTTGTATGTTCCATTAGAAATATCAAAACTAAATGTCAACTGCATGTATGTCTGCATTGGGTGTTTTATCAAGGTCTCCGTAATGAACTGCGATTAAGTTAATTCCGCTTCGTCTTTGCAGCTCGTATTCTCCGTGCGGTTAGAATTGCCGCTCGACTAGGTTTTCGGATATCAAAAGAGACAGCTCTAGCAGTAAAGAGATTTTCTGCTTCAATTCTACGGCTTGATAGGGTATCCAGCATAACTATGCGCATTTTCAACAGTTATATACAATCTTGTACTAAAACTTAATTTTTCTTTAATTAATTATGTTTTATAGGGCAGACTTCTCATGGAAGTCAATTACATGATGGCCTATGGTTCTGCCGAGGATTCACTTAGATTATTATGGAAGCTAGGTCTTCTTGATATACTTCTGCCCGTTCAGGTAAATAGCAATTATATTTATGCCACATGATTGTGATAAGCTTGTTGACTCGTAATAGTGTCATTCATGTTTCTAGTTTATGTCACCTAATTATTGAAATAAGAGGTGTGCTTTTTCTTTGCAGGCAGCGTATTTGGTCCGAATTGGTTTTCGTAGACGTGATAAGAAGGGTAACATGCTTTTGGTAATTGTTTGTCTTCTAGAATGATGAACTGTTCTAATTTCCTTATTTTGGCCTGTGCTTTTCATGAAGTGCATAGGCTGACATCTATGTTGCAAAACAGACCCATCTGCATCCTTGTATTTGTTTTCTTTCTGTGATGAGGTCAGAATTTCCAAGAGAGAAAACATGTGTTACTTTATTTTGCAGTCTTTATTCTCCAACCTCGATAAACATCTGGCGCCTGACAGGCCATGTCACGATAGCTTATGGTTAGATTTAAATTCATCTGGAAATTCTGATTTGCCATTTCGTTTCTGAATCTTTATGCTTTCGTTTTTTTTTTTCCAGGTTTTCAATTTTAGCATTTCATCAAGCACTTTTCGAACAGCCAAGGGATCCCCTGGTGGTGGCTGTATTCAGCCTTGCTGTCCACAATGGTGGCGATTTATCAGAAGCTTTGGGTATTGCGAGACGTATAAATAAGCAGCACGAAAGTAGTTTTTGCGAGCTATTGGAACCTGGATTTTTGGATTCTTCTGTCCTCATTGATGATGTTATGAGTTTAGCAGCTTCCATTCGAAGTGCACTAGTTCATTTGACAGACGAATATTTTGTCTCACAGGCAATGGCTAAGTATCCAAAAGCACCACATTCAAATCTTGTAAGTTTTTCTATTGCTTCTTATTTATTTATTTATTTATTTGTTTTTTTTTCTAGAAAATATTGACAAAGGTGGTTGATCTTAAGATTCTTTAGTGTTCTCTTATAGGGTAAATTACAAAAAAAATCCTGACCTTGGTTGATTACCAAAAGATAAAACACTTGCTTTTTTTAATTACAAAACGAAACTGCATCGAGGTTTTATGAAACAAACGCTTCATTTGGATAGTCAACTGTGTTACGTGCAGTTAGAACAAATCTAAGAACTAATATATTATTAAACTAAGAAGAATCGAAAAAATGAACTTGTCAAGCGAAAAAGCTTGTTCCAAGTGCAAGTGCTGATTTTCCTCGAGAAGTAGATATCCTAAAAGACTTAACTGTACTGCTTAGTTGAAGCAAACTAGGGTTCCAGAGAACTAAATTTGTGACCACTTAATTGAAAATCAAATAACCAATCATAAATAACTTAATTAAATAAGGACATGTAAGATAAAGGAGATTACTGATATGTAACACATGTGGGGTGCAGTTTGTGAAATAGAAACAGTTATCTGGATGTTAACAATCTGGGCTCCTCATTCAGTATTGTTCTATATGAACAATAAAAGTTACATTGGCTTTGCTTAGGTGAAAAACTTAGGTGAAAAGCAATCTTCTGCTAATCACCAATCTAAAAATTAATTTAATATAAAAAAACCTTCTGAAGATACGACACGGTTATTGATTCTTTGAATTTGATCATTTGTTTCCAGTTTTCTGGAAAGTGGTGGGAGCCCTTATTAATTGTTCTCGTATCCACAGGTTTTTTTTCCTTGGCAACTGTACTTACGAGGGTGTAAGATATTTGATTGTGTTCAAGATGGAAAGGAGGAAGGATTTGTACCAAAACATGGTCCAAAGGTTGATTATGAGCTGTTAGCTGTGGGAAGTTTAAGAGAAGTCCGGCACGTTTTTGCAAGAGTCGTCTTTGATACCATTTACCCCGTTGATAAATAACAGGCTCTGAACGTGGTTAATCAAGTACTTAAATTCTAGAGAAGGTAAACCACCACTAATTTGTCAGGTCAGTCTGAAAGGATGTACTGTAAGATTGGCTTAATTTCGAGGGCTTTGTTTCTACAGTTTTAACATTGTCTATGTATATTGCATGTTACTTACAGCCATGATTCAATGTCTGGTGATTTATTGTTCTTTTTATTGAAAATAATGCAAAAAGGCTTACTTGTATACTATGTCTACTTTTGAATATGTATTCAAACTTTTAGGGTGTGTTTGGATGTAGATTTGTGATTGGATATTTTGGTTTTGATTGGTTTTTTGTGGCTAATCATAGTTAATTTTGAAAATTTAAAAATTTTGGTTGAGTTAGGTTTGAATGACATTTTGACATATGTCGTTTGCCGAATTGGCTCAGTTCTCTAATCAGTTTTTATTGGCTTTTTTATTAACCGGTGTTAATTTAAAAAAGTTGGTCTAATTCGTTGTTAGTGAGATTTTAATTATATACTCAAATAATATTGTAAATAAAATTTAAATTGATTTGATATAAAAGTGAAGATAAATGATTGAAAGTAATAGATAGTTCAAAACTGGTTTGATGTTAAAGTATGAGATAAATGATTGATAGTTAAATTATGTGAGTAAATGAATAGTATATTAATGTTGATGTGTAAGAATAATTAATTGATATTATTTATTTATATTGATAATATAGAGAATAGTGGTGTTGAATGAAAATTTAGTTAAATTTTGAATATGAATTGAGTATAAGTACTGATATTTTTATAAACATACACTATCTGTGTTTATTTGTAAAAATTGAAATGATCATCAAATTTCAGAAGTCAATAATTTTATCTGCAATGAAGTAAGTACAAAGAAGTAGATCTTCATTATTTCTCAACGATATATTATGATGATGTTGTATCGTAATGATGGCTGATTGGGTATTAGAATTTCAACTAATGTTCTTGTTGCGCAAATTATTCTCTGATCCTGTTCGAACAGCAATTCACTGATTTGAACCGTCTTGACGTCTCCGATGACCTGCAAAATGCCGGGAGGGGTCCCAGCGAAAAACACTCTGACGCCCAAGTCAGTTCACGTTCAACAACGATGCAACATTTTGCGCGTGTATGTGTGTTGTGTAAAAATAATAACCTGTATCTCTTTTTATAGTCAAAGTTATATGTGATTAAAAAGACTTCTAGTAAGGCAAAAGGTCTTCCCGTGTATATTTCAACAAACCAAATCTTACCAAACTTTTAGAGTCTCTGATAGAATACACTTCTTTGTTCAAGGGACTTAGTTCTGTTCTTCTGAACGACTTTACTGGGACATCATCTCTACGTCCTTTTGGCCAAGCTCACAAACACACATCTGAGGTCGTCATATTTTCCTCCAACCCATTTCTCTTATAAAAGAAAGGGCTTCCTTCTAACCCCGAGCTGAAAGGCCTTATATGCCCATCCAGCCGAGCTGGCTAAGAAATCTGCCATACTGTCCCCCAGTAAGCACACGATCTCTATCCGTTCGACCAACTCTAGGTCGAACTCGGAAGGGTACCACTTAAGTCATCCCATCGTTGTGCTGACATAGTCGGTCATCCCCGCGCCCCTTATCTCTGTGTTTTAGCCGCCATCCTACATATAAGTGATGAGCTCCATTCGAGCCCGATCCATGGCATCCCTCCACGAGCCTCATTATCTATTAATCCATGGCATCCCTCCATGAGCCCCATATCTATATGTTTTATTTCATGAACCTTCCTATTTCTTTCATGATAATACAAACCCTGTCCCTATACAACATCATACTACTATACCAAGTTCTGATCCTTTATTAGATTCTATACATGTTGTACCCTCATCTAACACATCACTTATTCAACCCACTCCTACAACTACATCTTCACCACAACCCTCTTTTACCCCACACAATATTACCAATATAAGAAAATCTACCAGAATCAGACACACACCTGCCTATAAAATGCTTATAAACATTCACTTCCTTCCCCTTCCAACTCTGTTTTCCACACATCTCAGTCAGACACACCTGGGAAATCACTTTATACTATAACATCTTATATTTCCACTTACATGTTAAGTTCTGAACAGAACTTTTTCACTGCATAAATTACTTTCCATAGTGAACCTAAATCTTACAAACAAGCTTCTCAAAATCCCCTACGGGTAGAAGCTATGAATGAAAAATTAAAGCATTAGAGAATAGAAACACCTGGGCTCTTACTACTTTACCTGAAGGTAAAAACAACATAAGTTGCAAATGGGTCTACAATTTAAAAATAATTCTGATGGGATCATAGGTAGGTATAAAGATAAACTTATAGCCAAATGCTATACTCGAAGAAGGTTTGGATTATTTTTGACAGTTTTTCTCCTGTTGCTAAAATTACTACCATTAGAACATTACGTGCTATTGCATCTGTCAAAAGCTGGAATTTGCATCAACTTGATGTTAATAATGCTTATTGCATGGTGATTTAGATGAAGAAATATACATGTTGCGCCCTCTTGGTTTTACATTGAATAATCCTAATCATGTTTGCAAACTCACCAAAAGTCTATATGGCCTTAAACTGGCCTCTAGACAATGGTTTCACAAACTCACCACTTGCCTTTTAATTTTGGTTACAAACAGTCATCTGATGTTTGCTCTTTATTCATCAAATATGAGATAAACTCCCCTTATTAGTATATGTAGATGATATTATCCTTGCAGGTGATGATATGATTGAAATCAACAGGGTTATAAATCATTTAGATTCCTGTTTTAGAATAAAAAATCTGGGGCATCTTAAATATATTTTGGGTATTGAGGTTGCTCAATCTGAAAGACATTAATATTTTTCAAAGAAATATGCCCTAGATATTTTAGAAGACACTGGTCTTTTGGGCTGGAATCAAAAAATTCTCCAATGGATTCAAATTTGAAACTGGCTTCTCAAAATTGTAATGACAAAGAATATGTGGATGCTACTTCTTACAGAAAACAAATAGGCATATTGCTTTATCCCGCAATCAACATACTTGATTTATCATTTTCCATTCAAGCACTTAGTCACCATATGGCTAAACCCACTACATAACATTTAACTGCTGCAGATAAGGTTATGAGATACCTAAAATGCACAATTGGCAAAAGGTATTTTTTGTCATGGACACTCATTTTTACAATTAAGAGGGTTTTCAGATAGTGATTGGGCCTATTGCGTAGACACAAGGAGGAGTGTAACAGTTATGCATTTTTTATTGGTTATTCTCTTATATCTTGGAAATCAAAGAATCTGGCCACTATAAGCCGGTTCTCAGCTGAGGCAGAGTACAGGGCCCTAGCCTCTGCCATCTATGAGGCCCAATGGTTACTATATCTCTTACCTGATCTTTGCATTTCTTACACTGCTCATGTCAATCTCTTTTCAGATAGTAAATCAACAGTTGCCAACACAAAGAACCCAATTCAGCTTGAAGGAACCAAATATATAGAAATTGACTGCCATTTAATTAGAGAGAAGTTGTCCAAAGGTGTTGTAGCTATGCATCATGTTCCTTCCACTGCGCAAGTAGATGACATTTTGACAAAGCCCTTGGGAGTTCAACCCTTTCAAGACAACTTATCCAAGATGAATATGTTGAATATCCATGTCCCTCTTGCGGAGGGGTATTAGTGTAACACCGCACTTTGATTTTCAAGAAATTCCAGACTTTCCAAAAATCAGTATAAAATTTTCGAACTCATTTTCGAAATCATGGGCGTTATACAACTTTTAACATCAACCAAGTCATATCTGGTTGTTCACATGGTTCTCATTAACCTTTTAAAATGCAACTCCACATGATTATTAGCTAAACCACATAGCATGCATAATCGAAGACACATGATAATCCATAAATAACTCTCATACGAATATCAAACAAAGGGTCTAAAATCCCGACACGAACAAGTTTGAAAACAGTTCAACATGTCTCAAAGACCACACTTTATTCATAAAGGAAGCAGAAACATAAACATCATAATCATGACCAACCCACTCGTCTTTTCCTCCTTCATCCGGCACCTGCTTAACCTGCATCCGTGAAGAGCAGGTGGGAGTGAGCACAAGATAAAAGTAGTGCTCACTACTATGCACATAAATAACATATGTCAAATGGTATGGTCGCAGCATGAATATAAGATAATCACATCATGTCTCATCTCCTATCAAAATCACAACAACCACAATACTCCTGTGCACATCTATCGCTAGCCGCAGAACGGGGATTCATTACCCGAAGGCAGGAGTACATGTGTAACGCCCCACTTTTATTTGACAAAAGTCAAAAGCTTTTCAAAAAGTCAACGAAAATTTTTCGAAATTCTTTTCATAAATCATTTGGCGTTACTCGACATATAAACAACATCTACGAATTATCAATTACTCGCAAGTAATTTAAACATCATCAATTATCCAGAGTCAAATCGAAACCACCCTCACAGGGTTCTAAACAAAGTTTCGAAATCAATCATTAGCAAACGGGGCATCTCCCAAAACCAGTATTCAAATTTCTGAAATCATAAATAATCCAAAGTTCAACATAATGACAAAAGTAACCATATAATATATAGCAAAATGGAAGCTACATAATAAGGTCTGGTCAGATAACTGACCACCACTCGTCTTTCGCCGCCATGCAGCCGCCGGCTCAACCTGCATCCATGAAGAGCAGGTGGGGATGAGCACAGATGGAATCCGTTGTGCTCACCACTATGCAATGAACAGTTATATTAAATGGGTACAGATAGTAAGTATGGCATGGTCACAAGTATGGACATAGACAATCAAATCTTTCCCATCTCCTATCCAGAGTCCATTACATATCTCATGTGCACACCTATCAGAATAGACTACATTTGGTCCACGTATCGTCTCCCCGCGGGAACTCTAACGTTGCCAAAGTAGGAGAATCATCCGTCAACCCCGAGGGTTTTAGACGGGAAATTCACTGTCAACCCCGAGGGTTTTAGGCAGGAAATCCATCACTGACCAAGGCTCATGCCAAGGTCTGCAATACATTAATAAAGAAGACTACCCATAGGGTACGTTCTATAACCACGGGGATACCACTCGACGGCCGGTACAGCTCACGCCGAAGGTTACATGTTCACATTTCATACTTTGATCATACCCAAGTAAGCAAACAATTTCACTATTCAAGCATAGCCAATTTTATAAATAAACCCACCTGGAAATCGAGGGAGAATATCACACAAAAGCAAGTACGTATGTCGAGGCTCGACTCCTCAAATACCCTTCTTTGAGAAATTTGCGAGAAATCGGAAAAACAGTTGGACAAACGGGCCGTATGGATAAACAGGACTCGAAGAGCTCAACACCTTCGAAAGCTCAGAACTGAAGCTCGATGCGCGATTGCTCGCGATTTGAACACTGGAATTCGACCAACGGCGATGACCGGAGATGGCCACCGGAAACAATGGCAGACAACGGCTCTGAACGAAAAGAAGGCTGGCAACGACGGGGACTGGACGGTGGCTGGCAGGAAACAACGTGGTGGTCGCCAGTAGCGGGCCTGCTCGGAGAACGACCGGGATGGTGACGAGGAAACGCCGGCAATGGAGCTGCTGCTCACCGGTTTCAATGGCGATTTGCGCAAGCTCGGTGAGAGAGGGAGATTACAGAGGAGGATTTGAAACGAATTTGATTTGGGACAATCTTAGATAAGGTCTCCACCACCGAGTCTTAAGTAGAGAGGGAGCGAGATACACGAACGAACGATGGACTATCGCGAGAAAATCTCACCTGCCAATTCGACTTCTGCGACGCGAGAGAGAGGGAGAGAAAAGAGAGGAGGCGGATCTGCTATAATAATGAAATTGGGCCAAGGTTAAACAATTAAGTTGGGCCAAACTAAAACAAATTGGGCCATAACTGATTAAACCACCAATGGGGCT